CACACTTTCAGTCCCAGCACTCAGAGGCAGAGGCAGGTGGATCTCTGAGTTCGAGACCAGCCTGGTCTACAGAGTGAGTTCCAGGACAGCCAGGGATATTACACAGAGAAACCTTGTCTTAAAAAACAAACAAACGAACATTTGGGATCAGAGCCTGGGGACATTCTCTGCAGACACTTCTGATGTTAAGATTGCCCATCCACCCAGTTTTTGGTTCCTACTTATTTGCAGGTGACCTTTGTTCTCTCTTTCCAAGTTCCATGTTCTTCTATCAAAATACACTATTCTAATCTAAAACCATTTTTCACTTTTTCTTGTGATGTTTGTATTGAACTCAGGACCTCATGTATGCTAGGCATATGCTCTATTCCTGAGCTACCCTGTTTCTTTATTTTAAGTCAAAACATCATTTAAAGTTGTGGTTGTTTGAGACAGAGTCCCACTATGTATCTCTGGCCAGCCTGTACATCTCTATGTAGACCAGGCTGGCCTTGAACTCAAATTGAGAGTACTCCTGAGTGCTGGGATTAAAGGCATGTGTCACCATGTCCAGCCCCAAACACCTTTTAAATGCATGGTGCAAATTTTGTGGCAACTTTCATAGCCTCAGAACAACTGGCATAATGTTACTGGTGCTACAATTGCTACCGAGTTCATGGGTTGCTTTAGGTATTTTTCTGTTTTCTTGGTTCGGTGACTAAACTTATAGTTATTTGTAGTATATAATTACAGACACACATTATCAATATTACCAGGGTGACGCTTGAGCTTACTTTTCCATTAATACAAACCCTGCAGTTTTTACATTAATTACAGAGGGAATTAATGACCCCTTAGACAGTTTTCACCTATTAGTAAAGAGTTAGGAACCAGCTGTGCCAGTAATGACTGGTCTTCAGATGTGAGGGCAATGCCCACAGCTCTGGACTTGGCCCTGACCTAGCATTCTCTGGCTGAAACCAGAGTCTTCCTACCGTCTTGTCTGGGGCCTTCTGTTTCTGTTCCAGCACATAAGAGATGCTGCTGTTATTCTAATAAATATGACCATTCTATTATCACTGTTAAGTCGAAGTGACAGAGATTATCCAAGGCTCAAGTAGAGTCTCTTTAAATTCCTCTTCTTCCTTTGTTTTTATTGTTCCAAACAGTAATTATTGCTTTGGTTCTGAAAATATCTGTTGAAATTCAGGTAGTGTTAGGGAACACTTGGCACACATTACCTTTAATTTCCATGGCCATTCTGCCAAGTAGGGGTGATTTAAGGGTAGGAAACATGTATCTAGAGGAGGTAAAGTGACTTGTCCAAGTCATTAATCTATCCATTCAGGCATTTTTGTCCTTCATTCAAGGATGATTTATCTAGTACCTACCAATACCAGCTGACTAATTGGATGGTGCAAAATAGAGTAATGGACCTTGTGCTGGACCCCATTGTCTAGTTAGGAAACATAAAATTACGCACAATTATAAGAGAAGTGTTGTGTGTGCTGGGAGCATCAAGGAAGTATGCCTAACCCAGCCTGATGGTCAGGGAAGATACCCAAACTGACATCCAAACCGAGACTTGGAAGATGAGTAGAAGTTATCTGAGGAAGGATGGAGTGGTGTGAGATGAAATGGGACATGTGGGAGGGGTGGTTGGCTCCTGCATTTGTGCGGTGGGAGTGGATTGTTATGAGAAGAGATCCAGAAATTAGAAGAGTTTACATTAGGAGGCTGGAACTGGAGCCCTGGTTAGTCGTACCCACTGCTAGGGAGCTGCAGGGCTCGGCAGCCTTGCTTCCATGCTTCCAGTGCTCCTGGAAATGTGCCCCAGGCCAGGCCATCTCCTGGGTGGGCCTGTACATCATCTTCACTGTATTGCAGTGGCTTCAGTGCCCTCTAGTGTCCTCTGGCCCATCTTACAGCTTCCCATGCTGTGTGTGTCGTCTCCCACCAGCATGTATAACCAGGTGGACCTGTTATACAGCTAGGAGCTGGGGACACTGGACTCAATGAGACACCTATCTTACAGATTTTCCAATTAAGGAGATGACCCCATGAACAGTGTCATGAGAAGCTGGCTGAGAGAAGAGCAGGGTGGAAGGACACTAGGGAGGTGATCCACCCTGCCTAGGTGGGCTCAGAGCAGGTTCCTAGAGGACACAGCTTCTAGCTGACTTTTGAAAAACAAGGTGGGGGGGCTGGTTGTGGGGACCCAGAAGGAGAGTTAAGGTGAAGCATAGAGCAGCTGCATATGCCTGAGGGTTAGAAGTATTTCTGTCCAGGTGAAGGAAAATGTGGTACATATCTGTAAGCATAGTACTGAGAAGGTGCAAGCAGCAGGATCTCGAGTTTAAGGCCAGCCTGGGCTATGAGGCAAAATCCTATTTTTAAAAAAAATGGAGGAAAACCCAGATTAGCTGAGGGTGGGAGATAGAGGCTAGGTCACTGAAGGATCTACGGGACCCGCTACTAGCTCATTTACTAGGTATTTAAACATGGAGTCATGCCCAAAGCCTCTTTACCCTTTGGAGTCACGCACCCATCTGAGTAACTGATGAAAGCTAGAAAGTTATATTTCCCAGGGAGCACTTCTCAGCCAACTCCAGGGGCTTTAGAGATACTCCCTCCCATGCCTTGCCATGAACCATAGACTTCTGAAATAACCCTAGGATAAGTAAGAAACTCCTATCATGGCCTCCAGGGATTTGCAAGCTTGAACCCTTCCTACATCTCTGGCTTTATGTGTGTCTCTCAGTGAAGTTTTCACTCAGCCACATTGGCCTCTTGGAAGTTCCTGGAAGCAGCATCTCAGGTCCTTTCTTCTGCACAGAATTCTTTCTGCTTCTTGTCTCCACATGAACAAAACATCTGTCTCCTCTCAGTTAGACATAAGCTTCCTGAAGCCAGGACATTCTGTGTCTGTAGAACCCAGCACCATGCCTAGTCTACAGTATGGGTCGAATGAAGGACTCATCAGTGCCCTGTGGCTGGATTAAGCTCATCACTCTGAATTCATTCAGCCCCTGGTGAGTCATCATATAAATTTATGTAACATGCTTACATAGGTCTGAATTACACAAAGGCCCCAGTTCATTAACAGGTATTTTCCTAGAATTCTTCCTTGTCTTTGAAGCAAATGGGCTTCTTGAAATTCCCCTTCCCACATCCCCCTGGAGAAGGAAGGGTTGGCCTCTCTTATTCAAGCGGCCACTCTTCCATCATTGTGTGCATACTTGAGCTCCTGGAATCTTGACAAGAACCGGTGAGGTAAGCCAGGTGTAGTGGCACATGCCTATAATTCCAGCACTCAGCAGGCTGAAGCAGGAGGATTTCTGTGAGTCTGAGGTCAGTCTGGGCTCCATAACAAGTAGCAGGCCAGCCAGAGGCTATGTAGCAAGACCCTGTTTCAAAAAAGACCAATGAACAAACAACCCTGTGAGGTAAGCAGAGCATATACCTGTAATCCCGGTACTTGAGTGACTGAAGCAGGAGAATTAGCAATTTGAGGCAAACTTGGCCTACATAGCAAGACTCTGTTTCAAACAAACAAAACCAAACTTACAGAGTAGAGAATCGTCATTGCTCTTCTACAAAGAACCAAACTGAGGCTCATGGGATATACCCAGATAAATGGTTACATTGAAGTCTACTAGGCTCCACAGTGTAGGCTCTTGGACTACCTGGGGAGTAGAAGAGGCTTGCCCGAGGCCATACATTATCAGCCTTATAGTCAGGACTACAATTTCTGTTCTCAATGCCTGTCAGGCCTAGAGGGAGGTCTGGGCCAGAGGTGACGCAGCTGCAGGAACTGGAGAGTTGTCCAAGAAAAGTGAACAAAGCAGAGCTTGAGGTGAGAGCTTGAGTACCCAGTCACAGGAGATGGGCAGAGAGAGAGGAGGCCTCAGAGGTCCCACAGATGCCAGGTTTGTAGTGGTTCAGAGGCCGTCTCTCTTCCTAGCAGCCTTGGCTTTCTTCAGATGCGCCAGTTGTCCTGGTGGGGAGGCAGGAAGGTTGGCCTGTGGCCTGTCAGCTCCTATTTCTTCTAGATCACTGACCACCCTGGCCCTCCCCAGGAGCCTTCTGCTCAGAACAGCCAGGAGCCTGGGCTCTGGGGCCGTGAAAGGCTAGGATGCTCTGAGTTGGACCTGTGATCCTTTTTTAGGAATGCGCCCATCTTTCAGACTCCCCAAATTTTGTTTTCTCTGGTGCTACCATGTAGAGAGTAGAGAGTGCTGTGGGTAGGCAGGCGCCAGACACCCACTTGTGCCCTGATGTATTAACTTTGCTGAGATTGTGTGCCTCTCCAGGTTTCGGTTGTTGGACCTGTAGAATCAGGCTGCACAGTCTTCCTGGAGGAACAACCTCTGGATTATGAATGATGTGTGTACGGTTGTTCCTCTCTCTCTCTCTCTCTCTCTCTCTCTCTCTCTCTCTCTCTCTCTCTCTCTCTCTCTTCTCTCTCTGTAGTCATAAAGAATATTATTCAGGGCCACATCCGCATATCTGAAACTGAGTGACTTGAATTTTACTTGATGTGACTGTCTAGGACAGTCTACATACATCTGTAAATGTGCTGAACCAAAGATGTTTGTGAAAGGCCTCTGCAAAAAGGTTTTCTGTATGTACAAAGTAGTAATAGAACTAAGGTTACAGATTGCAGATTTTGGAATAGCCAAATTAAGTCCTAATCTTGGGGTTCTGCCACTACTACCAAGCTTTGTATCTCAATTTTCTACAGAGGGTATTCAAATAGGCCTTGTGATCCAAACTTTTTAGGATGGGACAAGTTACTTGTAGGGATAGTAGCAGAGGAGATGCACATAGGGGGCCCAGCCTGAAGTTTAGCCCTGAGGAATAAGCAAGCTCTCTAAACTGCTTCCTCTTGTGCGGAATTCCCAGCCCTTGCAGAGCAAGGAAGGAGCAAAGTTTCCAATTGCAGCCTGGCCTGGAGCCCAGCTGGCCTGGCTCCTCCTCCTTGGCTCCTCCTTCTAGGGAAGGGCTGAGGAAGAGGAGGTGGGAATAGTGACCGGGCACTGGCAGAGAGTAGGGAGGGGGGGCTGCCCCTGGGACAGGGCCAGACTCATGGAACCGCCCTGGAGGAGCAGCAGGTAGGAACCTGGGCCACTTAGCCTGATCCCCTTCCCTTCCTGCTCAGGTCTAGCCCCATTGCCTGGCCTGATGATTCAGCTGCCTTCTGGCTTCCTGGTTTCTGGCTCCCTTTTTGTACTGAAGGCCTTTGGTTTAGGAGAGGGGGCCAACTTGAGTGGGTGAGTCTGTGGGCATCTGAAAGCCAGCTCGGTAAGGACCTTGGAGCCCCAAGCAGTACAGTCCATGACCTGAGAGAGGTGACCTCCGTGACTGCCCTGGCGCTAGCCTAGCACACCCGACAGCCTGCATGCTCCAGCCACTGACATTCTGATGCCAACATTCCAGCAGCCTGAGGGTGTCTGCGGCTCAGAGGCAGTGACTGGCACATAGAGGGTTCTTGAGAAACGGCCACGCTGATGATGATGATGGCCATTTAGAGCTTCAGATAAGAATTCTCATGTGCAAAGATTCTCTGAAAAGATGTGGGCATCTTCTGACTTGTACTACATTAGTGAATGGGTGGCTGGGCTGGACTGCAGCCCCATTTCTAACTTTTACTTGGGCTCTTGAATGGCCAATACTGACCATCTACGTTTAGACTTGTGGAGACAGGGGCTGGCTGACTTGGAGGGGCAGACTCCACTTTCAGCTTGTCCTGACTGTGGCCACTTGGTATGACCCCCCAGCAACCACACTGTTGGACAGGACAGGGACAAGGCCCTTAGCCCCCCTACTTACTGTCCCTCCTCTTCCCTCTTGCCATTTCCTGGACTTTAATCACATCAAGCAGGTGCCAGAGGTGCCTTTAGACTGTGCACTGGAGGTGGGGGTGGGGTGCAGCAGAGGGGTGGAGTGTGGGCCCAACCTTGGGATGTGTGGGGGACAGTAACACCTTGGAAGCAAAAGACTCCTTGGAACCACCCTGTCCTCTACCTTGCCTTCCCTTCCGCCCCCCAAGCTCTGAGTCCTATCCTGTCACCAAGACCACTGCGTTCCTGCCAGCCTTCTCTGCCCTCAGCCCGTTCTGCTCTGGCATTCTCTGGCTCTCCCTGTCTTCTCTCTGTGTCTTTTGTCTAGCCCTTCCTCTTTCTCCTTTTCTGTCTCTTTCGGTTTCTCTCTGTCTCTCCCTCTGCTCCTTCAGTGCTCCACCCTACCCTAATTTACCCCAGGCCACTCTTTGGGGTCCCCTCCCCTCCTTTCGTAGGAGGGGTTTTCTCTAAGGGGAGCCCTTGCACTTCCCACACATCTTTTCCTTCTCTTTCATCCCCTTCTGCTTTCCTTCCTACCTTCCCCTGTGGTGTCTGCTGTGAGGAGGGCTCCTTTTCCCTTCCCTGCTGTGGTGTCCCACCGTCTCTCAGTGACCCAGGTCCCCACGGAGTCACCTGGAACACAGGAGGCCCAAGCCTGGCTCTTGTCTCTACTGCCCCCTGTTGTCATTGTGTTCTTTGTGGTTGAGTGCTGTCCTCTCTTTCTTGACTTTGTGGTTTTTTCTTTTTCCTTCCTTCCTTCCTTCCTTCCTTCCTTCCTTCCTTCCTTCCTTCCTTCCTTCCTCCCTTTCTTCCTTCCCCCTTCCACCCTCCCCTGTCCTTCCATGCCTCCTTCCCTCCTTTTCTCCTTCCCTTTCTTTCCTCTTCCCTTCCTCCCTTCACTCTTATTTCCTCTCTCCCTCCTTTCCTGTATTCCCCTCTCCCATCATATCTTCCTTTCCTCCCTCCTACCTCCCTCCCTTTCTTCTCTCCTCTTCCTTTCCTCTGAGCCTTCCTTTTCCCCATCCCCCACCTACTCTCCCCCCTTGTCCCCACTGCCCTCCTGCCTCTCCCTCCTTCCCTGTCTCTTTCTCTGTCTCTCTTTCCCTGTCTCTTGCTGTCTCTCAGGTCCACAGCGTCTCATACTCTACACCAGTATTGCTGTCCTACTCAGGTCCTTGACTCCATGAAGCTTACCCCCTCAGGCAGGCTGGCAGAGAGCAGGTAAGAGCTAGACCTAACCCTCCCCCCAATCCTTTCCCCTTCCAAACCAATATGCACCATCATTGCCAGATACCTCCACCCCTGCCCTGTGTCCCTTAGTCCCCTGAATGACTGTGGAGTGAGTGGTTGTCTGAATGTCTGACGAGAGGATCTTGGGAGATCAGGTCTGGAGACTAAAGAGGACCTTTGGAATCTATTTGTACTTTATTCTTTTTTTTTTAAGAAATACATCCCAAGAGGCCCGTCTCCTTAGCTGGGAGTGGTTGGTCTTGGGATATGTGGCATTTTGAGTAGACCGTGGAAGGATGTTTAGGCAGAGAGAAGGATCTGCCTACATTTTTGGAGAACAGCATTATTTCCAAGTTAATCAGAAATCCTGTTTTGTATTTCTGATTAGAATTCGACAAAAGGAAGTATTAACAGCCACATTTTTAAAAAGAGAGGTCCATTCCCTATGGAGGGATAATCTCTCATCCTAGATACATGGGGTCCTGCCCCAAATGATGTGACAGACTTCGATGATCCCCATGGGAGGCCTCACTCTCCATGAGGATTGGATGAGGGGGGTGGGAAGATGGTGGGGGAAATGGGAGGATGGGAGGGAGAGAGAACTGGGATTGGTATATAAAATAAGACTGTTTGATTTAAATAAAATTAATTTTAAAGAAACGAAGGCCTAAGCAATGTGGTGTCTTACACCTTGGTCTCAATATTCAGGAGGCAGAGGCAGGCACATCTCTGTCAGTTCAAAGCCAGTCTGGTGCACACAGTGAGTTCAAGGCTAGCTGGGACTACACAGTTAGATCCCACCTCAACAAACACACACCTCGCATCTAAAAGGGAGTAACAATGGAATTTATAGACTATTTATAATAAATTAATTTGGGAGACAATTACATTTCACAGCCTATGAGGTGTGTCCATAAGGGCTTTAGAAGAATATTGTTTCCAGTGCTTTTATTTATTTATTTATTTATTTATTTATTTATTTAGTCAGTTAGTTAATTTTTTTTGGTGCTGGAAATTGAAGTTAGGGCTTCATAAGTGCTAGGCAAACACTATTGCTGAGCTATAGACCCAGCTGTCCTAGTGCTTTCATTAGAGAGCAAGGCAGGTTAAATGACATGAACTAATCATTCCACGTAAGAAGCTAGAAAAAGAACCAGAAGAGGAAAACAGAATATACTAATTACTGTAGATGAACCTGGAAATCAGTGAAACAGAAAACAAAAGTTTTGATCACCTGGCAGATATGACTGGGGAAAAGGCAAAAAAAAGTAAGCAAAATAAGATTTTTAAAAGAGATTTATCATAAATTCTGATAAAATTTTTTAAACAGTTGTAAGAAAATGGTGTGGTGTGTGTGTGTGTGTGTGTGTGTGTGTGTGTGTGTGTGTGTGTATTTATACCAAGAAACATGAAAATGTAATTTAATTGGGTGATTTTCTAGGAACATGTAAATTACTGAAATTACCTATAAAAGGGAAAAACAACCCTGAATAGAATGGAAAAGAAGAATAAAATGAAAAAAGTGGTCAGTTTTTTCTCTTGAGAAATAATACCATGTTTCTGGAGGTCCTGAAAGTTCCATCAAATCTGACAAGGTCAGAAATGTAGGATAACCATCTTCCCAGCTCATGTTGTAAGGCTGGGTAACTGGCTGTTAGTGGTACACCCGCAGTCCCCTATACTCAAGAGGCTGAAGCAAGAATGTTGCCTTAGTGTAGAAGTTTGAAGTCAGCCTGGGCAATGTAGAGAGACCCTTTCTCAAAAACAAAGCAGAACAGGGCTGGAGATAAAGCTAAATGGAAAAACACAAAGCTCTGAAACTTTATCTACCCACCCCACAATTATATGTTTATTTATTTGTTATCTATTAGTACTGGGAATTCTATTCTGGGATTTGTGAATGTTAGACTGGGCTATGTCTCCAGCCCAGTTTTCCTTTATCTTACTAAGTTACTTAGGTGGTGCTAGAAATCACTGTGTCGTCCAGGCTGCCCTCAGTCTTGTGTTTCTACTGCCTCTCATGAGTTCTGGGGTTTCAGCCTTATGCCCCTGATGTAACAAATGTTGTAATGGAATATTATTAAATAAAAAAGAATATTATTAAATAGAATCCATTAGAGAATTAAAAGTATATCTTTCTTGCCTTGGTGCCATAGGTTTGTAATGCCAGCACTTGGAATGGAAGGTAGAAGCCAGAAGATGAAGGGCTCAAGGTCAGATTTTGCTACATAGCAAGTTTGAACCCACTCTAGGCTACGTGAACCCTTTAGAGACAGAGAATATCTTAACAAATGAAGGCTTCCTGGGAGGCAGGGATTATTTTACATTAGGAGCCCTGGGGGCTGGAGAGATTGCTCAGTGGTTAAGAACACTGACTGCTCCTCCAGAGGATATGAGTTCAATTGCCCATACCCACTTGCAACTCATAAATTTCTGTAACCCCACTTACAAGAGATGCAATGAATGCCCTCTTCTGGCCTCTGCAGGCACTAGGCATACACTTGGCTCACAGACATTCATGCAAACAAAACACCCATATGCATTAAAAATAATAATAATAATAATAATAATAATAATAATAATAAACAACGTTAGGAACTTTGCTATTTTAATTTGTTGCAGTATTTCTCTTTTATAGGAAAGATCATTTAATTACTCTAATTCTGGAAAATGTTTGGATATTTTCCACTACATTCTCTTGCTACAATGGAATAATTTGTTGCACAGCAAAAGATAGCTAATACATTAATCTAGGAATTAGTGAAAGCTTCCTTAGCTTGGTAAGGTTTGTTTTTATCAGAAATCAGAGACAATCATCAAATGTAAAAATGAAGCACTTAATACATTCTATTCAAGAACAAAGTAAGAATGATTGCTTTCACTATTATTTAATTAATAATTTTTGGAAAATTTAAAGATTGGTATTTCTTTTATTGAATTTGTTGTTTGACAATTTCATACATATGTATATTTCATTCCAATTATAAACAGTGGAACTTAAAAAGAGATGAGTATCGTAAATATTAGAATGACTCATAATT